TAATCTTGAACCCAGCTAGGAAAATGCTTGGGTATGTTTGTGTGTGAATGTTCCATTTCCAGAGAGTGGATTTGTTGCTGCCTCTGGGATATTTTCAGATAAACTACTGCAGATGGCATTAAGCTATTTCAAAGCTGGCTGAATGTGATTTCCACACCTATTCATTTTTAATCTAAGTCTATTTAATTTTTTTTTAATCGGTACCAGATATCGAACTCAGGAATGCCTGCTTGCAAGGCAGGTGCTTATGCCGCTGAACTAAATTCCTAGCCCCTAAGTTTATTTAAATTTTGAGGACCTTTCCATTGCTAATTTTTTATGGAAATATTAATGAACAGCTCTTTTTTTACTGCAAGGACATTGCTTCTTTTGAATGAGATGAATTAGCACAAGTGAGATTAGAAAAACAGTCTGTAAAGTGGTCTGAGACAGATGGGGTCACCTGAGTGTTTGGGAGACGAACTGAGACACTGTACAAATAGCTTATCTGTGTCCTGTATTGCAGTTGTTGATAAAGCAGTCACAGGCTTGGTCCCTCTGGTCTGCAACTAATTCTAGGGACAAATTTCATGAAATGGGATCATGTATAGGAGCTTAGATCCAAATGCACTGTAAAATGCCAAAGCTTTAAAAAATGTTCATTTCCATTACTTTATATATTCCCATGGTTTCTTTTCCCTCCAAGTAGTAATAACTGCAAAGAGCAGGAGATAGAAGGGGTACTAGGTAAGCATGCCGGGCTGGTGACAAATGAAGCCCCAGGCCTAATTTTCCCAAAAAGACTTTCTAAAGGGCTCGTTAAAGCAACCAACCTTTGTGAATAGTTTTTAAAGATATTCCCTCTCTTACTCAGAAGGAATAGTGTATTTGCTTTACATCTTTGTAGGCATTGTGAACACCAATGCTCCTGACATGAAGTTTTTAAAATTTAAAATAAAGAAAATAATTGAGTGCAAATGAAAAATCTACAACAAGCCAGAGTGCCTTTTTCAGAGTTATTATGAGCACAGATAATCTTACTTTTTAAAAATAGCATTATATCTACTTTATTCTCTTTTCTAACCATTTTTCATGAAAAAGTAAATGCTGGAAAATATACCTTCCATTGCTGGATTTATATTTTTAATGAATTCAACTCTTCACACTAAGGTTAGAAGTTGAAGACTAAAGCAAAAAGTGGGTTTTGTACTTTTAACACTTTTCACAACAGTGCTTTCAGGTAATGAGTATATCCTCATATGGTCTTCTTCTTCCAAGTATCTGGTAGGCTCACAGGAGCCTTGTTACTAACTTCAGATAAAAGAAGATGAAGAATTTGACTGAGCCCTCAGATATCTTCTAGTAGGCATTGTCACTATCAACAGATATTTATATAGTACTGGCCTTCATGTGCTCTATCAGGATAACAAAACCTTCATTTTTAAGTCTGTTCTATGCTTTAAAGAACTTAATAAACACTAGGTTTTGTCACTGTAGCTAAGAGTCAGATCCCCAAAAAACTGAAGGTATGAGTTGAGCTAGGTTCTGAGATTCACCTCTGTGCACAGGAAATGATAAAAATCAGATCTTGGTGACATCATACCTGTGATTTAGATCTTTATTGAGAATATTATGCTCTTTCAGAGTTCAGACTGCAAATAAGTCTTACTAGGTCACTACTATAAAGCTATGCCAAGCATTTTTCAGGAAAGTTGGTACTTGGAATTTTGGTAAAAGTAACTGTGGTCAGGCAGGCAGACATACTGCAGCTCTTAGAAGCAAGTTTGCAAAGCTCTGCTTCCTTATAATTGTCTTTGACACAGAGTGAGACGTGCCCTGCTCTGTGGTCCTGCCACTCTAGTCTGAGTCTCAAAGCAGCCCATGACATGTGCCAGGGGTTCAGGTCCCTGATTGTGCAATTCCCTAACTAGGAATCAGGTGGAGGTACCTACTGCAAATCAGGGTTCCCAACCCCCCTTTGAGATTCCAGTGAGTTTCCTCCATAATGTCTAATAGAGATATCTTAAACATGCTTCGCTATTTATTCCGGTGGATCTCAAAAACAGACACGCAGGTTGTCATCCTTCAAATCTGAGACTATTCATGTAGCACAGACTCTGAAATTGGTCAGAGAATATTGAAAATTCATGCTGATACCCAGATTCCAGAAATTATGCCTTTTTGACAGGAGGTGCTGCTACAATATTTCCAAACTGGTAGAGTTGTCATTACTCAGTGGAAGTGGAGTCTGTCCTTTTCTGAGACTATGGGCAACAGTTTTGGGAAGATCATTGGTTTGTGGTGTAAGGACAGCAGCTAGACAAGCGTCATGACATATAGATGGGGGTTCTATGATATAAACATGGGCTTCCATGATGTGTAGATGGAGATTCCATAATGTTTAAGTGTGGAGGTCCAAGATCTAAGAACTGGAATTTCTGTGTATGTATCTCCATAAGATATAAATGAGGTTTTTCTAATCTATGGGTGAAAGCTTTATGATATGTAGATGAGCAGTTCGTGATATACAGGCAGAGTTCCTCAGAGGACAGGGTTTAGGCAGATCAGGAAGGCAAAGCAGCATTTATAGTCATTCTTGGAACATTTTCCCTTGATTTTATCCTCTTAGTCCAGAGCTCAACCAAGACATGATTTTAATTTCCTAAAACTGCCCGTGGTTCCTGGTCCTGAGTCCCAGTGCCACGCTTGGCCCCCACCTAACTGTGGGGTGCATTTCTTGAGGAGTCTGGGAGAGAGGATAATGAGCCCCATGGCATGGTGGCGGGCCATGGTGTGATGAATGGCCCGAAACCTCCGTGCAGCTCTGTGCCCTTCATCATCCAGTCGGAGTGGTTAGCAGACTGTCAGAGAAAAATAATTTAGCAGCCGTGGCTTTAACTGATGTGCTGTATTCTGGGGTCAAATGACTATTACAAAGTACTAGCACTGCCTGGTTTTTCCATCGTGAGAGCTCAGGGTTGACAACATAAAAGAAGGAGGCATAACACCCAGAATTCACTGACATCCTTCAATTTCACACAGCGGGACACAGCAGAGGGAGGTGGTAGTGGTGGGGAGAAAGGACATTTCTCACTAAACAGAAAAACCTTAGGCTTGGGAAAGGCCTTGGGAGGGTGACAGGCTCTCTAGAAAGTGGTGTGGGCTGGATAAGAGCAAAACAGCAAAGGGGAGACACCTGCAAAGCACTGTGGAAGGCTTCTCAGAGATGTGGCAAGAGCTTCCAGCTGACCAAGGTCATATCACAGGTCATAGGCAGTGCTGAAGGAGCTTGCTTCTCTGCCCAGTGCTGTTCCAGGGATCAGGGGACAAAGTGCTCCCGTGGCTGTTTTGGCAAATTTAGATTCCAATAAGAGAAACAGAACAGAAAGGAAGAAGAGAGAAAAATTTAAAAAGATGGAGGCATAAGAAAGAGAAAGCAAGGTCACAGAATTTCTCATCAGGAGGTACACAGAGAAGTACGAAGGAGCTGCTTTGGTGTTGCCAGCACCATGGTTTTTCTTGGATTGTGTACATATCTGGGGTGAGTTGTAAGATCAGTGGAAATGTAAGATCAGTGGAAAGTACAGCCTAAACTCCTTTCAGTTGATCCTTCTTAAGTAATCACTGGATGGTCCATAAATGCTGAAATTAAGTGTATGAGTGAAAAGTAGAGCTAGCAGGAGAAGCAGTCATGCCTCCATCACACCTGTTTATCTATTTATATTCTCTCTGTTTACTTGTCCGAGCTTTGTGAGAAGCAGAATGCCTACTTTCCCAGTGTTTGGCCCATTGACTGCCTGATTACAATCACATACATATTGATTGAATTAATGTATACGTGAAGCCACTGGAAATCATGATTCGAGGTGAAGGACTTCTGTGTGCATTTTGTGTCCCCACACTGAATTCCTGAGCAGCATCTGAGACTGGGGTGGTACCTTGAATTCTTTAACAGGTTTATGATCTCTCAAGATAAAATAATGGATTCTATTCTAGGTGCAGTGATGTAATGATGGTAGCGATCATAGCAATAGCTTACAATTATTAAGTACTTAGGATGAATCCTGCACTGGGCTAAGTGCTTTTTAACTATGTAAAGTGTTTCTTGCCTTGATTGATGCCCACAATGAATAAAGATAATTTTCTGTATCTACTACATTAGTGATGCCCACAAATAATTCTCAAAATGATAAGAGAAAAGACAATTTGCATAAATAAGCAATTACAAGACTTGTCAGTATAAGGCTGTTTTAAAATGGTCTGAGAATAGTTCCTGCCACACAGGCAGTACTAAAAATACTTCTTAAGTGAGTGAAGGTAAACTCATGTAAAGAAGCAGAACCGAACTGTGCATGCAGATGCCTGAGAATGGATCCTGTTTGTGGGGCAGAGGGAGACTCTGGCCTCTATTCTCACTCCAGTCTCCTCTGCCCTCTGATCCTTGGGCTCTGTGGAGTCCCACCCAGGGAACCTCTACCTGGCCTCAAGTAGGGCCTCGGAGGCATTGACCTCCAGTGGGACAAACTCTTTCTGCTTGTTTTTCTTTGGCCTCCCTGGCTAGAAAGAACCAAAACCACTGCCTAATGTTTCTCTTCTGCCTGCTGTTAATGAAGGGCCTGTACATGAAACCTGCCCTTCCAGCAGGGCAAGCCATTCAGTGGAGATAGAGAGGGCACCCATCTATCTGGTGGCCACTTGCTTTCTGGCTAGTGGCTGCCCTGGTAGTGGGCACTGTTGCAGTAAAAATTACCCTGGCTTCATGAATTCTTTCATGACCTTTGCTAACTTGGAGTGCTGACATTCTGTTTCCTTTCTTCTACACTCACATGATTCTCTCTCTTCCCAAAGCCTGGGAATTTCCCTAAGATTAGGAAGAGGGGCCTTTCTGGGGCAGTCAGTGCTGGGGACTGTACTCTGCTCACAGCCATGCTCCATTCCTGTGGCTGAGAGAGCAACCCCAGCTCACCTCCATCCCAGCATCCCTGTACCTGGCAGGCTGCGAGCGACCTGAGAATTCTCACCTGTGGTAAGAGGTTACTTTTACTCCTGCTGGGGGCATGGCCGGGCAGCCTGATGTCGAAGAGGGCCTGCAGAGCAGCCTGTGCCGCCTGGCCCTTGGCCAACTTCTTGCTGCGCCCTGAGCCTTCGAACGTCCTCCCGTCCACGCACACGGCCATGACAAAACTCTTGGTGCGAGGTTTCTCGGCAGTTTCCGAGAGGCACACGTACCGCAGGCCAGAGCGTAGCTCATTCAGCACGACTACCGGGTTCCTCTCTCCCGAGGCTGCTGGAGCAGGCCAAGGCCGGTCCGGCCGGGCTGGGCCCATGAGGTCCAGGGTGTGGTAGAGTAGCCGCCCTCTCCGGTAGGCGGTAGACAGAAGCTCGGAGTCCACGGGCCTGCAGGGTGGGAACCCTTCACTGGGCGCCGAAGGCTCAAACTGCTTGAACAGCGTGTCTGGGAAGTCGGCCTGGTCCGAAGTGAAGTCTGTACACAGGTTGGTGCTGCTGCCCATGGCCAGGTGGGCCTGGCAGGCATTGGGGAACTGCACGAAGGACTTTAGTGCCAGTTCAGCTGCGCGCATCTTGGCTTTCTTCTTGGTGGGCCCTGTGCCCTCAAATGTGAGTCCATTAACTTCCACTGCCACTGCAAAGACCGGGGCATGTACTGGGCCTGTCTGCGACACCATCCGGTACTGTAGACCTGGTTTCAGCTCATGCAGCTGGACGAGTGCATTCTTGGGTGTCATTGACCAGGACAGCTTCTTCCAGATGAGCTGGAGTTTGCAGAAGTGGCCCCCATTCCCTTCTTCCAGGGGTCTTTTTCTTTTGACGCTGGGAGTGCTGCTTCTGGCTCGGTCCCCTGGTGGCAGGAGCCTAGTTCCCAAGTTGCTCACATTTCGGTTCTCCTTCACTTCTGCACTGCTTGTACCTGGAGGGAAGAACAAATTAGTTGTGACCCAGGGTACTGGCAGGTCACCACTAATGGCAGATATTAGCATCAGTGATCATATTACAAAGCACCAGATAGGTGCGTATGGAGCCCTTGCTACATGCTAGGCCTATGAAAAGTCCTATAATGGCCTGAGCCAGATCCAAGGGAGCTAGATGTGAGGGGACCACAGAGGAAGGGCCTGTGTCCTCAGGCAGATTTTAGATCACAGAGAGCTGGGCTTGCAAAAACCCGGGAAAAAATGGCAGCAAGGAGTGTGTCCTGCACATGGCCTCTTTATGTGCTGCTCATAGTGTGAGCTATGGTGTCATCACCATGAGTTACTGTCCTCTCTCCCAGCGTCATCTTCAAAACCAAACAGATACAGCTTCCCTGTGTATGGATTTTGGGAAAACTTAAAACTCAGAAAGACCTTTCCTGTGATAGGCCCTTCCCTTCCCATCTGCAGCCAGAGCCTTCAGGCCCCAAGATACCTTGAGCCCTGGGGAGCAGGGCCTCCCTGGGTACCACGCTCTTTCACACACAGCCTCAGACTCTGATCCCCTACTTCTCATCCAGAGGTAAAAAGGCCTGAGTCTCCTGAGGCTGTCAGAAAGAGGCTGGTAGACTAGGAGCCAACCAAAAGAAGGGAGAGAAGCCCTCCTCTCATACATGAATGCTCCTCAAATGCACCTGTGTACAAGTGAGGATGGCAGAGCTGAGAGTTGAGCCTGTAATCGCATGACCTGAAGTCCGAGTTACTATTCAATATCTGCAGAAAGTGTTTCTAGCCCCATGTTGGATGAAAAATCCAATGGGATACAGCAAAGACCACGAATGTTGGAATGTGGATTTTCTGCTACTTTTGAAATGTAGTTCTCTGAATTATCCAGCGGTTCTGAACATTCAACACATAGGCCAAGTCTTTTGTTCTTTAGTGGGTGCCTTGGCACTGTAAATAAAAGACCTACATGTGATGCACAGTGTAGGGAACATACATATAAATGAGCTATTGGGCCCATTCCAGGCAGTGTAGGGCTGTGGCTCCTCCTTGACAGGAGAAACTCATCTACCCTCTTGTTTCCTGCCCCTGAGATTTTTGCACCTTATCCAGATAGGTAAGTGTATAAAAGGTATTAAAATATTAAAGTGTTTTAAAGGATATTCTCCTATAGATTGGCAGGAATGAATACAAATACAGATCTTTTTGTGAGTATTTTGGGAGCATTCATTGAGAATCAGGAAACACACATCCAACTAAGTAATTCTATTGCAGTGGCTATAGCCTACAGAAACTTTGCTACACAGAGACAGCGACCAACAAAGGTGTAAATTGCAGCAGGTTTTATGAAATTAAAACTTTAGAAAATTCCTAGGATCCCACAGTTAGAGGGAGGGTAAGCAAATTCTAGTATACACATACTACAGAATAGTATGTAACCACTGTATCAGATGGACTGTGTCTATATGCTTCAACATAGATAAATCTCAGAAAGATAATGTTAGATGACAAAAAGCAACTTGCAGAACAATCCATAGGGTGGGATACCATTAACATAACAATAAAGACAAAGCATTGTATATTACTCATGTAACCATGCCTCTTAAAGTACAGCTGCAAAAGCATGTGTAGCAAAGACACATTCCATTCTTTTCTGGGGAGAAAGGGAAGACGATGATATGAGGGGCCAGAAGCTGATTTTGTATCTATAATGTCTTATTTCTTCTGTAAAAAATATTCTGAAGGAAGTTGAGCAAAACCATTATTTGCTAGCTGTAATTGATGGATGAATTTAGAGATAATTTTATCTTTCTAGACAGCCCATCACTTCTGTTTTGAGAAATGTCAACTGTGGATTACCACATGGCCTCCTGAGTCCTTATATTGCATGCTTTTGGGATGCTAAAATATCATATCTATGATAAAATACTTGAAAAGTCTTGTAAGAAGTAGTACCATTGTGTTTAACATAGCCCAACCAGGCTCTATGGCTCCTACCCAGAATCTGGGCTCTGATGTGGATCTTACTTTTCAGATCAGCCGTGTGTGTGTGTGTGTGTGTGTGTGTGTGTGTGTGTGTGTGTGTGTATGTGTGTGTGTGTGTGTGTTAGATAGTTATCATCTTATAGGTGAGAAAGCTGAGGCCCAAAGAGATGAAGTAGCTGATTTACAGAGGTTACATCATTTAATTGGCCAAGATGTGATTCAGTCTTGGAACTCTCATCATCTGTACCATTGCTGTAAGGTGATTTCATGGACAGTGAATGGCTCCATCATTTCTTTGGCCATTGCCTAGAAATGCCACTTTCTGGGATCTCTGGGAGATAATAGCAAAGCTGAAGCCACAGTCTGGCCTATGTGTGGTGTGTCTGTGAGATCACCTGGCCAGGCAGGACCATGCACAGATATCAGGTCTCTCTCTCTCTCTCTCTCTCTCTCTCTCTCTTTAAAGACCTGTCCTCAGAGACTGAGAGGTCCTAGTCTGCAGAGGTTTTATGGCAGGTTTTTGAATGAATTTTTCTCGTTAAACAAGTGGAAACTTGGGGTGATTTTTCTTGCTAACCCAGAGCTTAAAAACAGATGTTGAGTATCAGGCTGGCTGTTAGCACGTGGACCCACTTCCCTCAGAAAGCCCTCAAGTTACACAGGGTGAGACATGCCTGACTCCACATCTCTTGCTTATGACATTGCTGTTGGAAAATAATAAAGGGAAAAAATACAGTTTCACAGCACAAAGGATCCCTTTGAAAATAAGATGCCTTTGAGAGGTATCCTGACATTTGAGAATGTCCTTTTCAGATTGTACACTGCCTCCTCTTACTTGGGGTTAACCCATTGGTCATGCAGGCACAGCTATCATCGTGTCTCTATAAAGAAGCAATGACAGCCTTTGCCAGGATGTTCTACTGTGAGACTTTGCTTTGAAAGTAACCTCAACTTTTTACCTGTTTAAGTTTTTAAATTGTGAAGTGGTTCCATTACTGTTGTCTTTATCAACTTGCTTCCAAAATCACTAAATTTGGAGAGGTACTTTTATTCAAAAGTGTGAATCTGTGCACTTTCTAAATTATTGGTGCATACAATTCATTTACAATCTATTCCAGCAGAAATAATCACCTTCTAAAATGCGAGAATCTCAATAATTTGTGGTAATCATTGTGTACTTTAGGCATATATACAACAGTGAGCCTTACCACTTAAAGTATTTCAACCCAAGGGGGAGGAGATCAGATAACCATGTTCTTTTCTAAACTGAATATAAAAATAGAAAAAAGAACAAGCAGTACAATCCTCAAAATCCCACATCAGATTTCCTGGAAATTTGTTTGGAGGACTCTAATTTATTATTGATTTCCTACAATGTGGGGATTGGGTAAGACGGTTAGTGCGATTACAGTGGCCAGTATATCCGATGACCTCTGCTGGATCTTAGAGAATCGCAACTCACAAAAGAATGCATTTCCCTCTACCATCCTGGAATTTCTCTTCTCTTCCCTTCTGCAGGTTTCTGTCTCCCATGATTCTCATCATTCCAGTTTTAATGGCATAACTATGATTATCAGAATGTGGTGTGTGAATTGTTTTCATAGGAATTAAAAGCAACTGATGAAAAGCTAGGGTCTCTGGGGTGTTACTGACTGCTTAAGGAGGTTCACTTTGCTTAGTTGGCCTGCATAAATTGCCAGGGACTGTGGAGGTCTGCAGAGCTCAGCTGTAGCCTTAAGTTGAGGGGTTTTTTTTGTTCCAGAAGCCTCATGACGTAGGGAGATGCAGTGGCTTCTCCACAGCCTCTGAACTCAAGCAAGTGAAAGCACAAGTGATCCCTTAGTTCTTTTATGTCTGTGTGTCCTTGGGCAGGCCACTCTATCTGTCCAAACTACATTTTTTTAAAAACAGAAAATGGGAATTTTAATAGTATTTGCCTTATAATGTAACTAAGGGTGCAGTAAGTTAGTACATAGAATGGGCTTTGCAAAAAAGGTGAACAGGGGAATGGCTAATACATGTTTAATCATAGCAGGGAAAATTGTACAGACTAATGGTTCTCACTTGTGTCCTTTTGTCTAGGCCAAATTTCTCTCCCTGTTTGTTTTATTTGCTAGAGTTCTTGATCAATTTCTCCAGAAATTCCAAGGTATCATGGAAGAGGGGTGAACAATTCTCTCACCTCTCTCTCGTGTGTGTGTGTGTGTGTGTGTGTGTGTGTGTGTGTGTGTGTGTGTGTGTGAATCAGAGAACAGGATCTATCACTTGGAAAATCCCATGTTTCCTCTGACATGGTGAAGATTAACGCCAGCTGCTCCACACAGAGAACAAAACTCATGCTTTGTCTCTCCCTTTCATTGGCAAGTCAAACAGTTATTCTTATTGCATGTCTAAAAATTTTTCAAGTATCAGTCTAATGAAGAAAACAATAGGCCTTTTCATTCGGAGCCACTTGGGTGTGGTGAGAGAAACACAGACACTGGTAATGGTCCTGCTGTGACCTAGATGGGAGTAAGGGGGAGGGGGAGGCGCTTTCCCTGCTCTAGTGCTGCCTGAAGGTACCCAAAGTCTGGGTGTCACGAAGCTCATGTCCAGGTGTCAGGCTCCTTGTCAGTGTTTTGCTTTGGCAATTTTCTATGATCCTTTCACAGGCCTCCAGCTCTGATTTTACACATTAACATTTTCTTCTTCCACGTGGAAGGCATTAAATATGTTACCTCCCTTTCTCTGACCCAGGGAATTATGCTCATTTTTTTCTCCACTTAGCTAATAGTTTTCACACACCCAATTGTCATATATAATAATTCACAGATAAAAAGTCAGGAGACCGAGAAAGTACTGACTTCTAAATATAGACTTGAAAAGCTCCTTTTCGATGTAGCTTGGGAGGGTCACTGCACCCTGGAATCTAAATGCAGAGGGCTGTGTCCACTGTGATGGCCACTGCATTGTTCATTCCCAGCTCTGTGCTTTGTTTCCTGCCCTCAGGGTCTGTGTATACAACAGGACATAT